CTTTAATGTTTCTTTCATATATATTGTAACATCTGCGCTCTGTGCCTCTATGTTCATATTTTATTGACAAGACCTTTGGTGAGATTGAATTCCTTTATGATCTACATACTTGCACGCGGTTTCACGAGTCGGAGAAAATATTGCTTTTGTTTGAACGCGTAGTACCAAATAAAAATCGTGTGAGAGGATGTCTATGAAAATGATTTCTATCGTGACAAATTATAAATCAGGACAGTTTCACGAAATTGATTAATACGAGCTTCGTTAGATACATATATAAAAGTGATGTCATTAACGACAGTAGATAGTATCGACGCAATAAAGGAAAAACACAAATTGGTGGGCTCATGCAACGCGTAAGTTACGTAACGCAAAGGTCAAGGAGTGTAACTGCAGTTCGTATGCTACATACAGAAAACCGTGCTTGAATCGGCCGGATACTTGGTAAAAAATGAACGTGACTCGTTATCTTCTCCGTAATTAAGACAGATTACAGTTAGCAGGGACGAATGAAACGGGTGAAACGTATTTCTTTTTTACTTTTTTTTAATTAAGGAACATAATCACGGGCTCGTCCGAAGACAATGGCTCGTGAAAGCGAACCAACGAAGGTTTGCCGGAGCGAGAACATCGATTACAGATTATTAAAGGGGACGCCCGATGACTTTCTTCGGGTGCAGTCATCGGTAGAGTAATGTCGCCTCGTTCATCGTCGCAGAACTATCATCCTTCTGCCGATCATGGAATCGCTCCTTTGTGTCCACCTTTCCCATGACTACTTTTTTTTTCTTCGTTTCACGACCATTGACGAGGGTTGCACGCGTCGTTTATTCGGCATTTCGTTGCTCTTCAAGAAGCTTTAATATCTTCGTTTAGAACACATTGCCTAGGACGGACCATCTGGTAGGTGTCTTGCACCAAAAATTAATCTGATACAAGAAATCTCATTATAAAATAAAATTAAATGTAAAGATACTGAATCGTAAAGATATATTTGAATAAATCGGAATCGAACAGAGAGGCATGCTTTTGTCAAAAGTTCGTACAAAACTGCTGCTGCTGCTCTTTTGTATGGGGGCCTTCAGGATCTTTTTGTATCGACGGGATATTTATTTCGTAACATAAATTTTTGGATTTACAATTAAACTAACCAAGTCGCCGAACGATAACGTTTCACCTGTCGGTAAATTTTTAATGTTTCTTTCCTTCGTTTCACTAATAAAAGAAAATTGATATAAAGTGAAAATATCAGAAGTAAATGTGAATTGTCGAAGTTTCTCACGATCCCAGGAAAATAAAAATGTCCCGGAACTATTTGAGGAAAGTTTTAATACAATAGATGAATCACGAGGAAATGGTGAATGATATTGATTTGGAAAGAATATCAAAAATTCTCATTGATGGTATCATGTTTATTAATTGAATACAATGTACAAAAGTATCGTGGTAAATGTCCTGGAAACGGAAGCGAGCTGCGTTGACAGGATGCATCTTCCGGTTTTATCGCGTAACTTTGAGAGAAACGCGAATAACAGTTTCTGTTTTAGCCTTTCCCTGGTAAATAGCTACACAATACGGTAGCAGTAGATACTCTTGGAAGGTACATTGACCTCCGTGTTTGCAATAGTACAAGGTTACTACACAATTTGACATTGATAATGAAGCGGCAGGTACGTCGAACAACTTTAATAGTACCGGCCCCGTTACTTCCGGACGCGCCTAAGCTCGCTCAACGAAACGCGTTCAACCGCTATGAACAGAGAGAATCGTAATTGAAACTCTTTCTCTTCATCTATGCATTAAAAT